GTAGTAGTAGTAGTAGTAGTACAGCCTCAAGGGCAGACGCAGGACTGGCCTGACCGATGGAGGTAAAGTTTATCGTTTCACAACGAATCACAAGGAAATGCATGTTGATGCGGAGGCCTTTCTCTCTTGGAGCTCGTTCCTGCAACTTTATGTACACTGATTAATTAGCATTGACAACAAAAATCGTCGAGTGATCACAGACGTCGCTGAACCACTTAACCTTAACTAATTCAGCTGTACAGAAGTTCGCACAAAAAGCGAAGGTTAAAATGCATTGCATGAAGTGTCGGCGCCGGTCGGCGCCAGATTTAGCACTGCTCCTTGGACTCCTCAGCGTTTTCCTGACGCTTTAATTTAAGTGTACTAAAAGTAAGAGCCCAACACATTTGTAAGCCATAGCATCCACAGCCAATTGCCAAGATGATCCCGACCCGTGCGAGAATCACAAGGGTGAGTCCACCCTCTCGGTCACTTCGCGAAGTGGTTGTGCCTGCGATGATTGGGTTGCTTGGGTCGGATATGTTGACAATAGTCAACAATGAATAACCATGAGCACCATGATATGCTGTAACATAGGCATAGCTCCCTCTAATCGCAACGGAAGTGGATCCGTTGAGTAGGCTGTCTTGAGCCCAGCCTGTAATGCGAGGGCTGGCTGGGTCGGAGATATTGACCACGGTCAATGCAGAACCCCAGTATGCTGTGATGTAGGCATAGCTACCGGCAACGGCCACCGAAGTGGCTGCACGCAGTTGGGTGCTGTTCTGAACCGATCCTACAATGCGCGGATGGATTGGATCAGAAACGTCAACAATCGTCAGACTATGACTGACGATGGCTGCAACATAGGCGTATTTCCCAACAATGACCACCGAGCTGGCGCCCCAGAGTACATTGCTGAGCACGGTTCCAATCTGCTCAAAGCGGCCTGCAACAATCGTGGAACCTACGGGGGCCATTGCGGATGAACAGGAAATTCATCCACAGTGACAGGCATTTTCAACTTCGGACTTGGGTATTTTTTGGGGGTGCTTTTCGGGTATTTTTTTGGTTTTCGGTTCGATCCACATACAAAACTTGCAAGAGTCACAGGGATGGCGATAACTGAGGCTGTACTTGAGGTCTTTAACGGTCTTTTTTGGTGATTTTTTTGGTTTTCGGCCTACTGGCCTACTGGTCTTCGGTTATCACTTGGTCACTCAGTCTGTACATCCGACGGGCCGACCGCCGGCCCTGCCAGTCTACCCGGTTCAGGCTCTGGGCGTCTCAGCTTTGTGGCTTCACGTTGCTGGCACGACGGTCTTTAAAGAAAGCTTGCGCGGCCCAAAGAGAAAGCGGAAGAGATGGGCCTTTAGGACGGCCTTTGCAATGCCTCATACAAGTTATGTGCTCGACTTGAAATCGCAAAGGATAGCGTTCTTGACGGTACGACGTTCACTAAAGCACGGTCACTTAAGAAAGCGAGGGGGTCGGGGGGGGGGGAGGGGCCCCCCCAATTTGCTAACGCAACGCCAAGGGGACTGGCGGTTCATCATATGTTGAACACCCGCCCTCGGTTGATGATTCGGTTCAGCAAATACGTTACACACACCCTCTCATTTGGCGATTCCGGTTCATCATATATCTGAAACACGCGTCCTCATTTGGAGATATCGGTTCATCATACATGTTAAACACGCCCCTCATTTGGCGATTCCGGTTCGTCATATATCCTGAACAAGCCCCCTCATTTGGCGATTCCAGTTCACCGTATATCTTAAACACGCGTCCTCATTTGGAGATATCGGTTCATCATACATGTTAAACACGCCCCTCATTTGGCGATAACGGTTCATCATATATCCTGAGCAAGCCCCCTAAATTTGGCGAGTCCGCTTCACCATATATCTTAAACACGCGTCCTCATTGGGACGTATCGGATCATCATACATGTTAAACACGCCTCCACATTCGGCGATGACGGTTCATCACACATCAAACACCCCCCCTCTTTTGGCGATAACGGTTCATCATATATCTTAAACACGCCCCTCTTTGGGCGATTCTGGTTCCTCATGCATCTTCAACACGCCCCCCTAATTTGGCGATTCCCCCTCACCAGAAGTATATCTTAGAGTCTTAGACACTCGCCCTCATGTGGCGCGTGCGGTTCACCACATATCTTAAACACGCCTCCCCTTTATTTGGTGATTCCGGTTCATCATATCTCTTGAACACGCCATTTGGCGATAATCAACGGTTCATCACAGAATATATGTTAAAAATGCTCCATCCTGTATCTTGAACTGCCACATGAGAGGCGACAACAGTTCATCATATATCCTAATCGCGCCGCCCTCTTATTTGGTGACTCCGGTACATCATAAATCTAAAAAATGCCCCCTCATTTGACGACACCGGTTCATCATATATCTTAAACGCCCCCTCACTTGGCGATTCCGGTTCACCATATACGTTAAACACGCCCCCTTTCTTTTGCGATTCGGGTTCTCGTACATGTTAAACACGCCCCCTCATTTGGCGATTCCAGTTTATCCTGTAGTTGGCGATTCCGGCTCACCAGAATTATATATCTTAGACGTGCGCCCTCATGTGGCGAGTCCGGTTCACTATATACACATCTTAAACACGCCGCCCCCTTGTTGGTGATTCCGGTTCATCACATATCTTGAACAAGCCCCTCCTTTGGCGATAACGGTTCATCATGTATCTAAAACAAGACCCCTCATTTGGCGATTCCGGTACACCATATGTTTTGCACACGCTACCCTCTTTTGGCGACTCCGGCTCCTCATACATGTTAAGCAAGCCCCTTTCATTTGGCGATTCCAGTTTATCCTAGATATCAAACATGCCCCCTCGCTTGGCGATTCCGGTTCATCATACATGTTAAATACACCCCTCATTTGGCGATTCCAGCTCATCATGCATCTTAAACAAGCCCCTTCATGCGGCGGCTCCGGTTCGCTCTATATATATATATATATCTTAAACACGCTGCCCCCTCATTTGGTGAGTCCAGTTCATAATACAAATTGAACATGCCCCCATCATTTGGCGATTCCGGTTCATCATATATCCTAACACGCCCCCACCCCCCATTCGGCGACAGCGGTTCATGATAAACCATTCTGCTTTATCACACATGCTGAACTTACCCCTCATGTGGCGATTCCGGCTCAACATATGTCTTAGACTGAGACACGCGCCCTCATGTGGCGAGTCCGGTTCACCTCATATGCTAAACACGCCGCCCCCTTATTTGGACTGACCGACCGCTTGACTGACCGACTGACTGACAGCTCGTTTGGCAAACCGACTGACTGACTGACGCTCGGTTGGCTCACCGACTGACTGACTGACCGACTTATGGACTCACGTACCCACTGAACCGAAACCAAAATAAATACAAAAAAATAAAAAAATACCCGAAAAGAACCCCCACTCCTGAAGAGTCCTAGCCTAGCAGACCATGCTTCATATACGGTGGGATATGGTAGGAGATTTAGATTGACATAGTAGGTAGATGGTGATAATGCATCTTGCCCGAGCTCCGATTGACTTGCCAATCGAACTTATCATATTGGCACGGTTGGCAATTGCACACCATCGTCACTACATACAAGTAGGACATCCAAAAAGTAGTGTCCAACTTTGCCTTGCCCATGATCTTCCAGCATAACCAGCTGCGGCTTGCTTCGGTTGGAAATGTTGATGACCTGAATCGAAACACCTGCTGCAACGTAGGCGTAGTCGCCGTCAATTGCAACCGCAGCGGCTCCACTACTTCTGGAAATGGCTAGTTTGCCATGTTGGATGAAAGTTGCGCCTGCGAGTGTTGGGAGAGTTGGGTCAGAAACATCGACAACCATCAAAGCAACACCAGAAAGCGCGGCAACATAGGCATACTGGCCAACGACGGCAACGGACCGGGATCCGTTGAGAAATCTGTCTTGAACTGAGCCTATAATGCGTGGCGTGGCTGGGTCCGAAACATCCACGACTGAAAAAGCAGCATTTGCTGCAACGTAGGCGTAGTTCCCGACAATGGCAACCGACTTGGCTCTGTCCAGTCTGGCGCTGTCCTCAACATAGCCTGCAATCACTGGTCGGATTGGGTCAGACATGTCGAGAACTGCGAGCCCATCACTGGAACTTGCAGTGACATATGCGTAGTCTCCCACAATGCCAACGTCCCAAGCTCCCCGGGCTGGAGAAGAATGACCGAGACTACAGATTGTGAGCGCCAGCGCCAAAAACACACCAGCCATCTTGGAAGCTACGTGGTCCTGCTTGACGTGTCTGAGCTCTTAATGGCTGCAAGTCCGAGGGTCTTATGGCGAGATGAGCACCATCGAACATGCCATGGACAACATCAGAATATCTATGGCAACAATAATAACAAGCGCATGTATTTGTGCATGTGTGCACACACAGAGGCGTAGTCATGGCAGCGTCACTTTATGAAGAGACTGACAGACGCAGGCTCACAGAGTCGCGAATCGTGCATTGAAGCTTCCGCCGAAGCGACGCAGGCATTAATATACAAGCGCGACATGCCTTGGGCGGCTCGGGAACCAGCATGCAGGCTGAAGCGACAAACCCCTAACTTGGGCACGGCTGGGGCCCGGAGCTGTCCAGACAAAAAACTACACCGTCCCTTGGACGAATCTCTCGTGAACAAAGGCATGCAAGAGGATACAAAAAACTGACCTAGTGAGGATGCTGCGACTCCATCGGCAATCAACAGGGACCATGCACATGGAGATGTGCAGAGGCTGCACAACACGTCCGTTCTTGCGCGGACCCTGCGTCCCAGTGATATGTGCCGGGAATCACCATCCCAGCACGGTTACGGTTGCAGTCAGAGGCAGCGGCTGGAAACTGCCTCAGCGTGCTCTTGCTCAAGGATGCGCTCCTTTGAAGCTTTGCTGCTGTTTGTACCACTAAACCCTAAACCCTAAACCCCTAAACCCCGAAACCCTAAACCCGAAACCCTAAACCCGGCCCTAAACCGAGGCTGGACCCAGCCCGGCTCCGGGGCCGATCTCCAGGAGATCGCAGGACCCATGCAAGCCTCGACCCCTTTACCGGACCGAGCCGCTTTAGGGTTAAGGGTCTATAGGGTTTTGGGTCCAAAGGCCCCCCCCCCTCCCCCGCCCCAACAGAGTCAAGGAACAAGCTCTAAGCTCAGTTTGCAGACCCCAGCTAAAAGTCCTAATCCGAGCAGACGCGCCAGCGGAAGCTCAGTAGCCTGAGATCGATGCCCCGAAGACGAAGAGGCGCTCTCTTTCCTTCTTGTAGGCCTCCACGGCGGAATTTTTGCGGTTCGGCGTTGGAGGCTGAGGAGCTTGAACGGTGAAGAAGCAGCGAAAGGCGAGTCTGAAGCCTGCTGTGGTGGTGATTGCAATGGTGGCAAGCAGAACAAGACGGAGTAGTGGTGGTAGTAGTAGTAGTAGTAGCAGCAGGAGCAGGAGGAGTAGTAGTAGTAGAAGTCGTCGTAGTAGTAGTAGTCGTAGTAGTCGTAGTAGTCGTAGTAGTCGTAGTAGTAGTAGTAGTAGTAGTAGTCGTAGTAGTAGTAGTAGTAGTAGCAGTAGTAGTAGTGCCGGCAGTGATGGTGGTGATGGCGCGGTGGTAGTGGTGGTGAGTGTGGTTCGGGGCTGAGCGTAGGTTTCGGTGAATTTCAGTGCTCACAACTCGGCACAGCCGCGCGAGGTTTGTCAGGTGGGCGCCCCGAAGGGTGGAAGTCCAAGCGCCACTAGCGAGTGATTTACAGAAATTCCCCTGCCTGCCAATGCTATCGAGACCCTTAGTGTTTGGGCTGGAGCTGAGCTTCCACAGAGTCTTCGGCGCTCACTCTCGGCATGAATCTCAGGGTCTGTTGAGGTGAAAAGGCCCCAGCACCGCCAAAAATCCTGCAAGCTATATTAAACTTGCCACATGAGTGCATGACCACTGCAGTACTGCACCAGTCATTGCCGTAGGATGTCGGGATGAGGGGTCAGATTACACTAAGAAACATGAAGCAAAGGCACGAGACAGGATGCCTCAAGTGGGCAATGACTGAAGAAGAAATCATCCCGATCCCTGTTGATGAAGGCTGCGTATGTGGTGTGCTTACAACCACATTCACGTCGTGCGGATAAATTGCTGGTCAGGCATCTGTACAAAGCAATTCCCGGGTTCGTGGTGCACACCGTGCTAGTTTGTGCTTGCGAGAGGGCAGGCACGGCTCTCCCTTCACCACACCTGGAAGCTTGCTGCGAGGATGAGAGCTGGTGCTGGGAAAAGAACTGCAGCTGCCGACGTGGTGCCCCCGTCCTCGTCCGACTGAGAGCTCGCGGTCGTCGTAGTCGTGTTCGCTGCAGTTGTCGTAGTAGTCGTGGTCGTGGTCGTGCTCGTGGTCGTTGTAGTTGTAGTTGTAGTTGTAGTTGTAGTTGTAGTTGTTGTTGTTGTTGTTGTTGTCGTGGTCGCTTCAGACACCATCACCTCTGCAGCGTACCACATCTGATCGATGCTGCCACCGGCACCACACAAAGCACGGAACGTGACATCACCAGAGCTTGGTGCCATCCAGTTGTGTTGCCGGCTCGTGGTCTTCGAGCCAGTGTCGGAGACCATGCTCTGGCTGAAAGTTCCACCGTTGCACGCCACCTTCTGTGCCAGTGCAGTGGTCGAGGTGACCGTCAACGTGTAGATAAATCCAGGGGTGTAGCCCCCGCTCGGAACATCTGTGGCAATCTTGCAGGTGTCGCCCGACGTAGCTCCTATGTTAATGGTGGCAGCAGTAGAAAGAAAGTTATTGGCACGGGAAAAACTTTATCTGCAATGGCACTGAGACAATCATTGGTACACAAGAAGGCGCGTTTTTAGCAGCAGTTGAAACAAAACACGCACTGCAGCCCATCTTCTTTTCGGTGGGTAGGGATATGCAAGCAGCGAGTCAGCAGTTAACGGTCGCACCGCGACTGTATGACTCTGTCCGAGACTGCTTCCGATCGATCGTGCATGCTCCAACAGAAATGACCGATTGGCATGAACGGCCTCAAACCTGTGCTCTGATCAAAGAGCAAAGCCCTCTGATAGGTAGTTGGGGCACGCTCGAATTCGGAGAGAGCTGCATGCTGCCCCAGCACCAGTGACATGAAGATTGTCTGCTGGTGCACCGCGTCGAATTAAGCTGCTGTCTGGAAGCATTGCAAGCCAAGCACCATTGCTAGCAATGCACTTCTACACTCAATCTACAAGAAGCCAAGCGCATGGGATGATAGGATGACTATTAGTCAACATCGGGGGCTGCCAGGCACTGCTGCTGCTGTTGCTCCTCCAAGTTCCTGGTTGCCACACAGTGGCCTAGGCAATACAATACGGGAACAGGACCACATGACAGTCACAGCCCCCTAAACGGAATTTGTTCCCATCTTACACATTCTGAGATCTAGACCCAATTCCTAAGCCCAAACCTCAAACCAGTATAGAATCCTTACGGAAGCTTCTAGAAGCCTTCATAAACCCCTATAAGAACCCCACAAACTCCCCTCAAATCCGAAACCAATCTCCAGACAGCAAGTGCAGAGAGCACTCGGCAAGGAGCGGTTTCGGACCTCCTTCTGAAGTCCTAGACCGGTAGAGCCTGCCCAGAAGTGCCTTCGAATCTAGTCAGTCTAGTCCTGCTCTTGTCATCACTGCTCCAGGGCCAAAAGAAAAGAGTATCATCCAAGAATGAAAATGTACATATACCTATGTGTACATACTGTGTATATAACTATGTACATACACATGGATGTTCACAACATGTAGGTTACAGTTCTTACAATAGGGATATGACCAATGTGCCGGTGACTGTTGTAATTTCTGTTGTTGCGCATGCGATGACTGTGACATGCCCCTTGTCTTCATGAGAGCACTCCGCGGCCCCCCCTTCCCCCCATGATCCAGGTCTTGGGGGGTTTAGCTTAGTTAGGCTTTTAAGATTGGGGTTTACGGTTCAGGGTTAAAGTTAACAGGTATAAGGCTTCGAGTCGACAAGGGCTTAGGGAGGGTCTGGGGTGTAGGTTGGTTGGGGTTGACGGTTTATGTTTTGCTTTAGGCTTATCATAGAGCCTGCATTTAGGCGGGGTTTAGGGTTGGGTATATAGGGTTCAAAATACAGGCAAAGGTTAATAAACACAGGAGCACGCCCTGCGTTGGAGGGTTTATGGCTTGCGTAGGGCTTGTGCAAGATGCCTGACCATAAAAGACTGTCTGTCCGTCTGACTGTCGGTCTGGCTGTTTGAATGCATCCGTACATGGATGTGCTCGATCTAGGCTTTGGAATCGGAACACTTCCGGGTTCCTCAGGCACCACCACACGGGGCAGCCTTAGAGCTAAGGACTCTCAGAACTGCGTCGTGGGATCCGCCTGGGATTGGATTTAAGGGGGCTTCCCACGGATCTGCTTGCAAGGTCCAGGAAGTTTGGCTTCAGGTTTCGACTCGAATGGGCTTGGGGTGCAACACGAATTGGGCTAAGGTGGAAGGAAGTCTGACCCACGCAAATCCAATGGCCACGCTCAAGGCACCAAGGCTCTTCCCACGTGCTTATAAACCGTGAGAATCCAAGAGCTCCCTGCCTTTGTTGCGCTTCCGCGCGAGTTGGGAGGCGATTTTGCCGTTGGACGTCCGCTGCGCCGGGTCGGCTCCCTCCTGTCATTTCTTTCGCAAGACGTTTCTTGCGCAGAGCTGGTTCTTTTAGCCTCAAGGCTGCGGCCCCAGATGCTTTTCGACCCCCGGCGGCGGCTCAAAGGATTTAGGTTCTATGTGGGATATGGTAGGAGGCAGGGTTGAGGGTTTTGGGTGAGGCATGCATAATGCGGACTTGGCAGACTTAGCATTTCAGGTTTGGGTGTTCAAGCAGCACCAGCGATGAGCTCATCGCTGATCAGCTGCCTGAACAGAGGATGTCAGGAAAAACAAAGCAACCTGCAGAACAGTCACTGGTTAGTTTAGTTGTCTGGGGGCTTAGAGATGTTGAAGGCTTAGGGCGTATAGGTCCCAGGGTTTAGGGCGTAGGGTTTCTAAGGCTCAGGGCTTACGGAGACTTCTTCACCTGCGACCAAGCCGAGACAGACGACGCGAAGCGCTTACAA